AAGAAACAAGTACCCACCTATGGCCCTTCTCTTGTTCCCCACAAAGGTGAAAATTGTAGTTTCCCTTGGAGACAGGTAGACCTGATCCAGCAGTATACTGGTAAAAGTTTAACAACCAGCTCTCCAGAAAAAAAAAATCCACAAGACACACCTTTAAGTTTAATCTGCATTATTAACATTTCTGTTACATAAGAATAATCAACAAAACAATAAATCAAGCCCTAATTTGTAGCCTTTGCTGACTCTGAAATATAAATGCTCACAATGAAAAGTTAACAATCAGGAGGTGGCTCTAGCACATTCCTGACTAGATTCCGAGATCAGATATCCATGCCACTTTGAGATGAGGCATATATTACATGACCAACCCAATGTGTATATATGTATATATGTATATATGTATATGTATATATGTTACCTATTATATATGCACATATTATCTATAATATATATGTGATTGGCTGTAAGATACACACATCCATATATATAGACACACATATATATATATGGATGTGTGTATCTTATAGCCAATATATATATATAATATGTATGTATTATATATATAATGTATGTGTGTGTGTGTGTATACACACACACAAATACACACATCCATACATATGTATAAATTCTACTCCCTACCTGAATCCTACTCATGCCAGTTTAAGTCCTGCCTTTTCTAGGAAGTATTGCTGGCTACTTCTGTTAATCTGAGTACTGGATTCAAAGGTCTGACAAATAGATTCATTGGTTTATTTGCATAAGCTTTATTGAAAGTTATACAGAGAAGTTAGCAGTCTCTAGACAACTCTAAGCAGGCAGCCAGATGATCTATGTGGCTTCACTGGCCATAAGACCCTTAGGGAAGGAAGAGGGGAGGTGTGTGTGATGGCCAGTGCTGGAAGTTTGTTCCACCTAGATTTGGATCTCTCAAAGAGCTGAGGAAACTTAAAATTTTTCTTTCTTCTTTTTCAATTTATTTCTCTTTCTTTTTTCTTCTTTTTTTTTGTAGGGGGAGGGTGGGGTAGAGAATGGCTAAATAGATAACCTAGACCAAGGTTCATATGCAAAGGGACTTGGGGAGAGCTCAGCCTGATCCAGGTGGTGTTTACTCAGCAGAGTATTTTCTCCACCCTATATTCAAGTACCAGGCATATTCCAAGCTTGGGTGATGCAAGCAGGCCTGGGGAATCTGTAATGGTTCCCATTCTAGACCTACTTCCACAATACCACTCGACCTGCCAAAATCTCACCTCTGAACTCCTATAGATTTATCACCTTATTCACTTGGTATTTAACATAACATAGGATACCTTTGCATTGTAATTAAACTTGATTTTTATATTCTTTTCTCTTCCACTAGACTATAAGCTACCTAAGGGCACAGACATGGCTTGTTCATCTTCATCTCCCCACCACTGGGACCACAAGGCCTTGCCAGTGTTCCCAAGTTAAAATGTCTTGAACCATGAGGGCTGCTAGTATAAGCAAGGTTCTCACATTTCCCAAGGGCCTCACAAATGTCAGTGCAATTTCCCCCCTTGTCCTTGTGCCTCTTGAGGGCTGGGGTGCTCACTTAAAATGGAGGTAATAGCACTTACCTCCCAGGATTGTTGTGAGAATTAAATGCAATAACATAAAGTGCTTACTGTAGTGCCTGGCACATAGTAGAAGCTATGTAAATGTTAGGTGTTATCATATTATTATTATTAGTGTCTTCCACCTGCTGACAGTTCAGGAGGCAACCACAAGCACTGACCTGGCCCCACAAGGCAAATCTGAACTGCCCGAGGTGGGGGAACCTGCAGCCTCGAGGCCATATGTGGCTCTCTAGGTCCTCAAGTGTGGTCCTTTGACTAAATCCAAATTTGAAAGGGCTACACTTGAGGACCTAGAGGGCCACATGTGGCCTTGAGGGTATACAGGTTCTCCACCCCTGGCCCAGACCATGGCTCCCCATAGGAGATGAGTTCCTTCTGCCTCAGGAAGGGAAAGATCCTGGAGAATGAGAGGGAAACTACAGAGATGTCTAACTCCAATCCACCCCCCGGCAGCTTTTCCCAAGTTCTCTCTAAGGAATCTATTATCTCAAGAGACACTAAGGAGACTTTCTCCTTCTCTACCTACATCCAAACTGGCAGGCAATTATCTCCACTAATCTACTGGGACTAGTTACTGGCTCCTTCACTGAGAGGATTCACACAGCTTCCCTTACTGCCCCGTCCTTGATAGTCTCTCTTCTCTCTCCCTTGTTCTCTCTCCCCATCTCTCTCTTCCTCTCTCTCCCCCCTCCCCCATCTTTCTCTTTGTCTCTGTCTCTGTGTCTCTCCTTCTCTTCTATTTATGCTAGAGCTGCAGGGCCAGGCTGGAGGGAGTTCAATATCCTCTTTTTCCACAGACAAGTAAGGAGGGAACTTGTCCTTGGCCAGCCATCGGAGCACCAGCGCACCTTAAATAAAGATGTGTGTTTGTACAGGTGCATGAGGTACACACACTATATAAGCATGTATATGTGGGACATACACACACTGTTTTCCACGTGGCCAGCTCTGGCCAAGGCAGAAGTCATCAAAGGGAGAGCCAGCCCAGATCCGAGGCAGCCAGAGCAATTGGATGTTCAGACCTGGTAGTGGGGAAATTGAGAGGGGGTGGAACATGCCCACTGATGAGGCCTGTACTGAGATCAGATGAGATTATACAGGATTTCTGTCTTGCTTCCTTAAACCTTTTCAAGATTCACCAACCATGCTCCTCCCACCCACCTGCTACCAGAACCCTTCTGTTTCCAGGTACCTGTTCCAGGCATCCCCTCCTCCCCCGAACAGGGGCAGACTGGTTGGAAGTTAGGCTGAAAGGACTGACTGTGGAACAGAATGGGCAGGCACAGGGTGGCATTATCTGCACATCTGTGCTGAGAGATGGGCTCTAAGTGTACTTGTGTACATGGAGTTCTCAACTGCTTAGGTCCAGCCTCTGTCTCTCCTCTACCCACCAGTCCTTTTCCAGCTTCTTCACTTGGGGCCCTTGGATAGGAAGGACAGCCAAGGCAATGCCCCTCCCACTGCCATGCCAGCCACTCCCAAGATGACTTCATTCCTACACTAAGGTATTTATAGCCCAAGGAGAATCAGATAAAAGCACTTCTCCAAGTGGATCACATGGATTCATGCTAAGTTTGAGCTGACCTCAGAACACAAAGGAGGAACAAGGTTGGAACTAGGAAAAGAATGGGAATCTAGCCCTTAAAACTAGGAAAGCCACTGTCCAGGAGGCTTAGGCCTGGAAAGGGGCCCTAGAAGATTTCCTGGGCGCAGATCTGGCCAGGCTCTAGCCAGGCTCCCAGCTTCCAGAGTCGGGAAAGTCCAGAGAGTTCTGTATCCACCTGGGATCTCATCTGGCCCCAACTCATGCTACCCCTCAACTGCTATTGCCCACAAGTGGCTCCGCAGATCTTGGCAAAGGACTCCACATATGAGGACCTGTGTCATACCACAGCCTACAGTTAGTCTGGGAGCACAGCCCTGCAAGATACCCAATCTAGGAACCACACACTGCCTCCGGAGGACTCACTTTCTGCCAGTTGGCCCAGCCATACCAAAGAGCTGTGGAAATCGAGGCTACTTCTGAGTCAAGCTAGGTTGTTGGTCCCTTAAAGGATTAGAGTTACCCTTGGGACCTCAGGACCCATCTTGAGGCCCTGGGAGAGTTGAAATAGGACAGTAGAGCTATGACATCTGGAAACAGTTAAGCATCTCAGGCTGAGGTAAGGCATAGGGTATTCTGGCTTGGCCTTGGAGAAGAAGGTTTTGGTGAACTCCTCAAAGATGCCCTGGAATGATGCCTTAAGGCAGCCCTCTGAGAGAAATAAGGGCAGACACAGAGCCTGGACATGGAGCGATGGAATCCAGAATCTGCCCAGGCCAAAAGGAAAGTCACAAACTAGGTAAATCCAGAGGAAGGGAACCCTAATGGGAGGAAACCTGAAGCCATAAAGACTGGGGATAGTTAGGGAGTTCATGCATTCAAGTCTCTGAAAGATTGTCATGTAGAATTGGGATTCACTTGGATCTGCTTAGTCTTCAGAGGGCAGAACTTAAACGAGAAAATCAAAGCAGATTTCAGCTCAATACGAAGAAAAACAACTTAGTTGGCAAAAGTGGAATGGACTACTTCCAGATTTCCCATTACTAAAGGTCTTCAGGGAAACGTTGGATGACCACTCATTTGGGATACTGTAGAGGGGAGTCCTACTTCATGCATGGGGATTTAACTAGGTGACCTTTGATGGACTAGATGACCTTTCCCACAGTAAGATTGGATGATCTTAAAAGAGCTCCTCTTAAAACAGTGTTGTAGGGAGATGGGACCACTCTTTTATAATAACTCTAGGAGGACCCCTTGAGCCCCAGGCATATGCCTGATGGAAAGAATATTGGATTTAGAGTCTGATGACCTGAGTTCAAATCCCAATTCTTTCACTTTTATGTAACTGAAATCACAACCTCTCTGAGCTTCAGCTTCCTCTTTGGTAAAATGATTGGACTACATGGTCTCTCTGTGGTTCCTTCCAGCTCAAAATCTATGATGCAACTGTCACTATGATTGCCACTGATATAACAGGGGATGCACATTACCCCAAATCCAGAACTTAGAACCCCTGACAGGTTCCTTGTCTTTTCTATGGATGATGCAACTGGTTCCCATTCACCCTTTCAGCTAATACGTATAGAATGAATACATTGTCACAATTTCACTGAGGATGACTTGTTCAAAACAAAATGGAAAAGATTATTTTATGTTTAAAGTTTATCAGCTTCCTCCATAAACTTTCATTTGATGTAATTTCTTCCAAAGATTTCCACTTTGACTTTTTTTTCCTTGGAACACGAAGGTGATGGTCACAGTCCCTGCGGGCACCATGCAGGGAATCAAAGTGGTTCCAGAGCATATTCCTTATTATCCTGGGAATTGAGAAGGGGCTGATGCAGCCCACTCTGGGATGGAACATATCCATAGATGAGGCAAGCTGTCACAGGACTGCTGTCTGGTTCTCCTGAACCTTTTCATAACTGGCCAACTATGCTTCTCTCACTTACCCAACATGAGCAGAAGTCAGAGCACTCCTGCTCCCCAGCACACAGAAGCACACCCAGCCAAGGGCAGGCAGGGTCAGACAGGATGCCAGGGACAAGGGAACCCAACAAGACAGCAGAACCAGGATTTGTAGGGACTATGGATCCCCTTGGACACACAGAACAAGCCCCTAAAGAGCCCTATGGGCTCGGACCAACCCCAACAAGTCCCTATAAGAAATCTGGACTGTATTGGCAAAGAGCAAAGCCCTGGCGCTGTCCTATGCCAGGCAGGCCTGCTGCCTTTTGGGTCTATTTCAGAGCCTTTCTGGGCTAGGCCAGTGTTAAATGGGACTATAGATAGAGCAGGATCTCATAATTCCTGAGGGGGAGTTTGGGAGTGATGGGTGTGTGCTTTACTCAGTGCCAAACACAAACAGTATGCCAACAATTTATACACATTAACTTTACACATGCATATACACACAGTTCAGAACTTCTACCAACAAACTTCCTCATCCTGAGGCCCCCCCTTACTTTGAGCAAACCCAAGCCCCAGTCATCCACCCCAGCATCCCCACGGATTTTGAGATTACTCTAAGCCAATCCAACCCAAATGCAATACCCAAGGATGCCCAGAAGCAGGGACCAAACTGACTGACCTCCCCCCTGACACCTGTCTCTGGAACTGGAAGGGCCTTCTATCACATGAGGGGGGAGAAGGAATGGTTTCTTAAGGACACATGATCTAGTATCTCCAACTGGGGAATGTGCAGGCCTTAGCCTCGGGCTACATTGAGCTCACATGAAGAAAGCAGCTTCCAGTGCGGAGCGTGACTGCCAGCTTCAGCTGCAGCCTGCCTACTCCCCTTTCATGTCATCTCCCCTTGGCTCGAAGGAGGATGTCTTGGGGCAGCTTTGCCCCAAGCTTGCCCAGCTTTGCTTTTCAGTGAGGGTCTGGTGCCCTGAAAGCCTGCTGACCTCAACTTTAGAAACAGATCATGGCTAGAGTAAGACAGACAGAGAAACAGACACAGAATGATAATAGCAAGAGAGCAAAAAGAGAGAGGAAGAGCGAGAAGGCCAAAGCAGCACTCAGTACTTTGTGCTGTCGTGTGTTATCCTGCATTTGTAAATGTGTGGGTCTTGCTCATAATACTCAGTGTGTTATTGTGTACTCTTTCCTTATTCTGAATATTATGTGTCAGTCTGTGTGTGGAGTGGGAGCCATGAATGGAATAGAGAGAGTCTAGGAAAAAACAAACTATAACTATATAACAAGAGAGGCAAGAAAAACTGGGGCTTGGAGACAGAGGCCTCTGGTGCCAGAGGACAGGAAGGAACCCAGGGGAGATTTGTGACCTCTGGGTTCCATCAAGTGGCCCAGGGCCTTGGGAGTCCCAGGTTCTAATGTATATAGCACAGGCCACTGGGGGATCCAGGTTCAAAAGAGTGACTTGACTGCCCTAGGGTTCCAGGCTCTAGAGGGTGCAGAAGGGCCCGGTCTCATGCCGCTTAGGCCTGCGCTCGCCCTGGATGAGGACTCCGGGGGCTGACAGGAATCGGGAGTTGTAGGAATCTTCGACATAATATGCAGCTGGCCCTGGGGTATGAGCTATATATAAGGTGGAGGAGAGATGATGCCAGAATCCCAACTTCCCAACTGGAATCTGGCCACCCTCTGATTAGTCCTGGAGACCTTCCTTCCACATTCTCAGGTCCCAGAGATCTCCATTCCTCTCCTTTGGTCTCCAGAAATCCTAATTCTTTCCAAGTCTCCATCTTCCTTGTGAGTCTCAGAGACTCTTTTCTTGGCTCAGAGACCCCAGTCTTCCCACTAGAACCCTAAAGTCCCATTCCCAATCTCCTGTTTCTGCCCCAGAAACCCTCTTCCATTTGGTCTTCAGAGATCTTCCCATCCCTCTCCATTGGCCCCCAGAGATTCCAATTCTCAGTTTCTTTTCTTAGCTTCTAAAGCTCTCCTCCCCTTCTCATTCCCAAATACTTCATCACTCACTTGACCCTTAAGACCCTCCCCAGACCACTGGTTCCTTGAAGACCCGCCTTCTCACCCTGGGGACTATATATTACATGCCCTTCTCCTTACCAGGACTGATCCAACTGTTGAGAGTCTGGGCCCGGCTAATCGAGAAGGCAGGAGATCGAGGTCCCTTAAGCTGAAAGCCTGGGATAACATTGTAGGTGTTTGGGCTGGGCCCAGGCTCCCCTGCGGTATTGGAAGTCTAATGAGTGGCCTGGAGGCAACAGCATTAAGTTACATGTAGATCCCATTTCCCCATACCACCACCACCCCAGACCAAAATGACTATGGGTATTGTATGGGGCCCAGGGACAGCATGAGGCTACACTTACTGGTCTTGTTAACCACCCTCCTATGGCCGAAGGTGAATGCAGGAAAGCTGGGCCGACAGGGCTGCTGGGGTCCCAGATTGCAGGGCTGTGTGTAGTGGAATGGAGATGGCCACTGCAGGGGTGATCAGACAGCATACAAAGGGTCAGCAGAATGGGTGCTGGTGCTGGAGCTGTGCACATACAAGTCTGAGCCCCTGCACTGCCACTCTTCCGTCTACTTGCCTTATACCTGCTCAAGGGAACCCTGAGGCCCCAGGGAACATCCTACACTGTTGGGCCCACACATACTGCCAAGAATCCCTCTAGTCTCCTGTTTGAGAACTAGGCCAAGACCTGGGGGAGTAAGTCCAATCTTAGTACAGAGCCATGGGACAAAGCAAAGGTCTGGAGACAGGGTCAGAGTAGGTACAGCCAGGGGTCTTGGGGGCCAGGCGTGAGGAGGCAAAAAAGCAATGTGTACCTGCTTCTCCCTGAGGAAATCTGCCTTCTGTGTGAAAGGGCTTTCACTCTGGAACCAGGTGGTTTGCCATGCCCTGTGACCATCACCATCTGCAGGGCATGTTGGGAGTCAAGAAGATCTCAATGAAGGAAAAGAGGATGAGAGTGTGGGCAGAAGAGCTGGGGGGGGTGCAGGGAGGAGGCTGGTAACCAGTGTGGGGGGGCAAGCCTGAATTTAGAGTGTACCAAATGGAGGCCCTCTGAGGGCTGGAAAGTTGTGAAAGGTAAAAGCTGGAGGGCCTAGGGTAAGACTTCCAACATTCCTGGCTCCTCTGGCAGATGTGAATGCTGGTCCTGTAGTATTTGAGATTTATCTCCCTTTCTCTTAGGGCTACTACCCTGGGTGCTCAACCAAGCTGAGACCAGGAAAGGTCACAGGGGCAGGAAAAGGGACAATCTAAACCTCTGAAAAGGGAAAGATATGGATACCTGTGAACAGATAGGGATGGGAGAGGGTGTGGGGAGTTGCCCCCACCAAGCTGAGGACTCCATGGGACCTTAACTGTGGGGCCTTGGCCCAGTTGGCCCATGACCTCCTCAAGGGAGGTCCAACTCAGGGGAGAAGCCAGGACTGGAGACCTTTGAGAGGGGGAGGAGGTGAGGTGGCATCCTATTGGTATTAGTGGGTGATCACCATAATCTCCTACCCAGTAGGTTTCCCCAAAGAGCAAGAGGGGAGGGCTGTACCTATAGGTTGGGAGAGGGAGAGAACCACAAATGGGCTAGAACAATGCTTTTCTATCACCACCCCCCTCACATTTCCCTTCATACACACACACAAATACACACATACATACATATAACATGGGTTTGAAGGGAAACATATGTAAGTGTGGGGATTGGCACGACTCCCCCTCACATCTCCTTGGTCTGAGTTGTGTTGGGGTAAGTTCCTGCTTCTTCCCACTCCCACTTCCCACCAACTTTCACATCTCAGAAGATTCTGTTCTTTTACCACCTTCCTGCACAGGGCTAGAGACCTCACTCACCATCAGGATGTGCCCAGGATTCTGTCATGGGCAGAGATGGTGGTGATGGAGGGGATAAGAACACCTCCTCTTCCTACTCCCACTGTTCTGGGGCCCTTGGATAGAGCAAATATTAGCTAGTATCTAGTTCAAGCAAAATTGGTTGAAATGGGAAATTTCTGTAGTTTCTTTCCTGGAGTTCACAGTCAAATATCTAAAAAAAGTTATCTCCCCTTGTTGCTTCCATCTTTTTTCCTCCTACTCACTCCTTGCAATCTGGTCTCCAACCTCACCCACCACTCCAAATGAAACTATTCTTTCCAAGGCTACCAATGAACAAGAGTTAGCATTTTTCTCAGTCCTCATCCTTCTTGACGTCTCTGCAATTTTTGATGGTGTTGACCACCATTCTCACTCCAACTCACCTCCAGATGTTCCCCACTGCTCTTTCCTGCTTCTCCTCTAACCTAGCTGACCACTCTTTCACAGTCTCATCTACTTCCTAAGCATGGATATAAGCCCAAGGTTCTGCCCTTCTCCTTACGTATCTGCTCCCGTAGTTCAATTATCAATCTTTGCAGATTATTCTCAGATGAATATATTTGATCCTAATCTCTCTCCTGAGCTATTCTAGTCCCATAATTCCACAGTGTTCCATAGGTGTAACAAATTCCACGTATTCAAAAGTAGAACTTAGCATCTACCACTTGAACCTACTCCTCCATACAAGTTAAGCATACCATGCTTCTGGTTACCTACTTTCATAACCTTGGTGCCATCTTCCTTCTATTCCTCAATCTCTTTCACATTACCAATCCAATCAGTTGCCAAGTCCTGTTGATTCTACATTGGTAACATCCCCTGAATCATTCCCCTTGTCTCTGCTCCCATGGTCACTAGACTAGTGTAGGTTCTCATCCACTCTTCTTTGGATTGTAGCAGTTTCTTCATTGAACTCCTGGCTTCTAGTCTTTCCCCTCTCCTACCGGCTGCCAAATAACCTTCCCGAAGCACCCATCTTGCTGTGTCATTCTACAGCTGAACAACCAACCTTCGGTGGTTCCAATAGGAGCCTCTAAAATACAAACTCATTACGAGTTTGTCATTTTAAAGCCCTTCACACAATGTGGCTCCAGCTTATTTTGCTAAGTTTATTGCATGTTATAATCTCACTGTCCCAGCCATACCGCACTGCCTCCTCTATGTGGTTTCCATCTCCCACCTCTGGGCCCATGCCCAGGTTATTCCCTGGGCCTGGGATGCAGTTGCTTCTCACCACCTCTTCTAAGGACCCCTCGCTGCCTTAGAGGCTCACTTATGTATCACCCTATGGCACACCTTTCTTGAGGTCAGGGACTTGTTCATTTTATCTTTACAGTGGCCCGTAAAGCGCCCTTGTACAAACAGGAACTCAAGAGCTACTTATTGGGTTGGATTGGAAGTTACCAGATGTGCACAGGGGATGAGTTCCTTTCCTCCTCCTATACCCACTGTCACTTGTCTACCCTACTCTTCTCCAACTGAAGGCACAGCTTCTTTGCCTCTTTCCTACAGGTGTAAAAGGTTCAGGGGTGAGAGCAAATCTTGAGATGGGTGAATTGCTCAGGACAATGTTCTCTGGGAATGGGTGAGGGGGGCGCCGTACCCCGAGTGGGTGTCTTGCAGCTAATGCTGTAGTGGGGATGTGGTGAAGACTCCCGGATGCTCACATCAGGTGCAGGGTACTGGGTCGGCCCTGGAATATCCATGTCTATCAGGATCGGGGGTCGTCTTTCTAAACCTAGGCACAGGAGATGGAACGGAGTTTCTCAGGAGCACTTCCCCACTCTCCTTCCAATATGTGGCGGGTACATGTGTGTAGAGTGTGTGTGTATGTGCATATGTGTGTGTGTTTGTATTTTTCTCCTTGTGGTTACCTTCCTCCCAATTTCACTTCTGAGTTAATGGATGGACTGTTTAGAATAGACACCCTAGGCCTCCTAAATGGTCAGAATTGAACTAGTTTCAGACCTGGAGGTAGGGCTACCATTCATTCCTCCTATCTCACCTCCATTCCACATGGCTCTGGATGTACTGAATTCTTTTATATTCTTGACCCGGAAAAGTTGTGGTTCCTGCATCAGGTTGGTTCCCCCCAGAGGGAGTTTTTGAAGATCCTGGGGTGCTGAATGCTTCATAGATTCCCACCTTTCTATAGATTGGGGGTGCATGGGTAGGACTGGAGAGTTCCCAGATAACTTCTTCCTGTCCAAGGGACAGAATAGATAACGCACAGCACAGAACTTCAATATCCATAACTATGCCAATCTCTTTCCTTCTGAGTCGCAGTCCCCTAGCCCACCCCTCACCTGGGGACCATCACTCCTGACCCTATTCCACCCTTAACCATACATCCCTTGAAATGGCCTATAAATGTACAGTATTAATATTAATCCTATCTTTACCTCTATCCTCTTTCCAACTCCAACCATATTTTATTCTAGTTTCTATACTCCATTGTCCCTTATTTCATCCCCATTTCCCCCCATCCTCATCTGAATCCCATATAATCCCCCAATTTTATTTCCATCACATTTCTTTTCTTAAACCACTTTTTCTCAATCCCCCTTTGGTCGTTGATTCCTCACCCCCTTCCTAATGGCCCTCAGTCTTCTCCCAAATCTGGGGCCAATTACCGGCTGCTGGGAGGTGCTGGCTGCCTTGTCTGTATGCCACCATGGGTCCAGTGTTGGCCTCCATTCATATAAAAATTTGCCAAAAATTTCACAGCCTTCTGGTCAAAATTCATCTTTTTCCAATCTAAATGTTTTGTCCTCTGTGTTGGCTAGTCTAGATTTTCCCCAGGCCAGACATCATGGTCACGTCACAAGGACTCTCCTCTTGTTACCATGGTGAAGAAGGGGGGAAGGGTGTTCTCCTGGTTCTAGAAAGAATGAGATGGAGAGGAAGGTTGATATTCAGGGACTTGGGTTTGGATATGGGGACAGAGCTGAACAATCCAAATCACAACCTAGCCTTCTCACTAAGGTTTTTCCAACTCGGTAGTACAATACTTCATAGGATCCCAAAACTGCCCAAAGGGCTATGGCCTACTTCCTGGGCTCACGATCCTATGGATGGGGGTGAAGAAGGTCCTTATAATGAGTTCTCACCTCTTCCTGGTGCCAGTATTCTTCATCAATTTTTTTTCTCTCCTTTTATGTTTCTTCCTTGCTCATTCACTTCCCTTTTTCTGCAACCCTGGATTCCTAACTCCCCAAACTCCGTGGCTCACAGTAGAAATTCCAGGTCAGGAGAGGCAGCTAGGTGGCACAGTGGATAGAGCACTGGCCCTGGATTCAGGAGGACCTGAGTTCAAATCTGACCTTAGACACATAACACTTACTAGCTGTGTGACCCTGGGCAAGTCACTTAACCCCATTGCCTAACCAAAAAAAAAAAAATTCTAGGTCAGGGTCAACACCCTCTCTCTCTCTAGAGTAATGTGTGTCCAAGAAGGTCCCTGGAAGACTTGAGGACTCAGTAGACTAGGTAATTGGAAAAGAGAAGAGAGAAAAGCAAAAAGGAAGAGAGGTCCGTGGTGGGGAGCCCACCAAGCAGCACCTTTAGTGCCCTTGGTGACAACCCAATCTAGTCCAGTCTAAAGGTCTATTATATGTTTCTAATTCTCTTTTGTCCTTTATGACATATAGAACTTTCATCAGCTGAAGACTGTCTCAACCAATATTATTTCACTGGTTCAGAGACTCCCTGAATGAATGACTCCTCTTGCTCTTTTGCCCTTCTTCCTAGCCTATACACACCAGGCATACCTCATTGGCCTCACCAAGCAAGGCCCTGAAGAATCTCCTACAGGCAATAATTCACTCAGTGTTCTATAAAGTGGGGGAGGGGCAGGGGAAACTCAGGGAACTTAGGTGGCTTAAAGAGACTGAGGAACTGAATATCTACTGCTGTATGTACATGGTTATACTATGGGGGAAAATAGGAAATTAAGAAACGGTCTTCTGCCTGTTGGGGGCTCAAAGTGTAAGTACAGCATCATAGAATTTACAGATACGTTAGCCAGTTCCATTGTTTAACAGATGAGGAAACTGAAGTTTAGAGAAGTGACTTGCCCAAAGTCATATAAGTATCAGAGTTTGTGCCCATATCTTTAAATCTAGTGCTCTTGCAATTATAGCAAAATTTTTACCAAGACCACAATGTGAAATGCAAAACAATATAAGATACTATGGTATACATAGTAAGTGGCGGTGTAGAGAAATTCCACAGAAATTCCGAAAAGGGAGAGTTTAAGAATGAAGTAGACCAGTCAGAGGAAGGCTTTTTGGAAGAGGAATGAATGACTTGTGTTATGGCAGATCCCTGACCACACAACCTAAATCATTGATTTCTGGATAGAAGTAGATGTCATCTAACAAGGTAATATAAATTTCCCACTTGTCTAACGGCCTTGAGTTTGAGATAGGAACTGCGGTAACTGACGAAGCAAGATGGGGTACATCAGGTTGGGGTAGGGGTTCTTCTACCATTCACCCCCCACCAAAGCTACAATGAAATTTGTGATTAGCTCTGGTGCAAGGAAAAATAAGGTATGGAGGGGGAAAAAAATCAAGTTTTGAGTTTTCAGGTGGCCATGGAAAACCAGGGACTAAGATTAAGGCAGAGGGGCCTCAGGAGGCATGAAGGCTAAACCAGCACACAGGAGGTCCAGGTCCTGAGTATCTAGGGGAGGAGAAAGGGAACATCAGGCTTTCAGAGGTTATTTCTTCTTCTTTTTTTTTTAACTTCTATTTGCCTCTTTATTTTTTTTATTTTTGTATTAATTTATTTTGATTTATCAACAATCACTTCCATAAGCTTTTGAGTTTTGAATTTTTCTCCCCCTCCCTCCCTCCCTCCCTTCCCTAGATGGCTTGCAATCTGACATAGTCTATACATATACACTCCTATTAAACATATTTTCACATTAGTGATGTTGTAAAGGAAGAATTAGAACCAATAGGAGGAACCACAAGAAAGAGAAAACAAAACAAAACAGAAGGAAAAAAAAGCAAATAGTATGCTTCAATCTACATTCAAACTCCGTAGTTCTTTCTTTGGATGTGGATAGCATTTTCCATCATGAGACCTTTGGAGATGTCTTAGATCCTTGCATTGTTGAGAAGGGCTGAGTCTATCAAAGTTAGTCATTGCACAACGTGGCTGTTACTGTGTACAACATTCTCCTGGTTTTGCTCACTTCACTCAGCATCAGTCCTTGAAAGTCTTTCCAGGTTTTTCTGAAGTCATCCGCTCATCACTTCTTATAGCACAACAGTATTCCATTACATTCACATACCACAACCTGTTCATCCTCTCAATTTCCAATTCTTTGCTACCACAAAAAGAGCTGCTATAAGAAAAGAGTATGGCAGAAACTAGGCATAGACCAAAATCTCACATCATATACCAAAATAAAGTCAGAATGAGTTCATGATTTAGATATAAAGTCTGATACTATAAGCAAACTAGGAGAGCAAGGAACAGTTTACCTATCAGATTTATGGAGAACAGAAGAATTCATGAGCAAACAGGAGATAGAGAACATTACAAAATACAAAATGGATAATTTTGATTACATTAAATTGAAAAGTTTAAAGTTTTTGCACAAAGCCAATGCAACTAAGATTAGAAGGAAAGTAGAAAATTGGAAAGAATTTTTACAACCAGTGTCTCTGATAATGGCCTCATTTCTAAAATATACAGAGAATTAAGTCAAATTTATAAGAATACAAGTCATTCACCAATTGATAAATGGTCAAAGGATATGAGAAGGCAGTTTTCAGATGAAGAAATTAAAGCCATCTATAGTCATATGAAAAAATGCTCTAGAGGAAGCTAGGTGGTGCAGTGGATAGAGCACTGGCCCTGGAGTCAGGAGGACCTGAGTTCAAATCTGGCCTCAGACACATAGTACTTACTAGCTGTGTGACCCTTAACCCCATTGCTAGCCAAAAGAGAGAGAGAGAGAGAGAGAGAGAGAGAGAGAGAGAGAGAGAGAGAAAATGCTCTAAATCACTATTGATTAGAGAAATGCAAATCAAAACAACTGAGGTACCACATCATGCCTATCAGACTGGCCAACATGACAAAACAGGAAAATGATAAATGTTGGAGAAGATGTGGGAAAATTGGAACACTAATACATTGTTGGTGCAGTTGAAAAATGATCCAACCATTTTGGAGAGCAATTTGGAACTGTGCCCAAAGGGCTATAAAAATGTACATACCCTTTGACCCAGTAATAGCACTTCTAGGGCTGTATCCCAAAGAGATCACACAAATGGGAAAAGGACCCCACATGTATAGAAATATTGATAGCAGCTCAGAGGTTATTTCTGGCCTTGGTGCCATCTCTGCACAATGGTCACCCAGGTAACAATCTCCTGTGAGCCAAAGGGTCTGACGTCCTGGCCAGACAGCACCCAGTTCAGGATCTACTGGGGTTACAATGACAGCAACTAAGAATCACAGCCTTTTCACACCAGAGCCACACTATATACCTGGGTAAGAACTCTATCATGGCTCATGTTTAAGGACTGGAGTTAGGGGCCAGAGGCTCAGGATTTGGAGGTTGGGGGATTGGGGCACCCTGGGCCAGGGAAATGGCTGGTGGGGAATTCTAGGAAGTTCATAAGACTGAGGAAGGGATATGGTTGGGTGGGGGCAGATCAGGGACTGGGTAATGAGCAAATTAATAGGTAGGGAAACTACACTATCATGGTTTGGCTGAGAGGTACTGGGGAAGGTTCTGGTGAGGAACACCACACACAGTGGACTTCACCTTGTCTTCTCTAGTCCACCTCCATTTCTTCTCTCTGAATCATAATCCTCTGCAATGTCTTAGAAAGGATGAGTGAGATTCTTGTATTGACTACTATTCTGTTCTCCCAAATCTGGAACTCATTTCCTGTCCCCATTGAGGGGAATCATTTATGTCCAAGGGCTTTTAAATCTGAATTTGTTTCACTCAAGAAAACGTTGGCTATCTACCATCATCATCTTCTTGTCTTGGCTAGCCACTGTGACAGTATCTCCCACTGCCTAATCCAACAGGTACCTATCCTCTTTTCTTTGACTACATCCCTTTATCCCTAGCTATGCTGGCTTCTATCCCCAACTACGATACCAGGTGGGATGCACTTATGGCCAGAGCACTGCACAGGTGCTGACAGACCCCACAGTGAATAAGAGCCCATGTTCTGTGTTGGCACCGCTCAGCAAACCCAAGTTCATCAAGGATTTTAGCCAAAATAAAATACCCCATGCACAATATATGGACGCGAACCAGCCCTACATCCCCCATTACACAGGTGAGAAACAAAGATATGTACCTCCTTCACTTCTCTGTGTCCTACTCTGGAACTCTTACCCATTCACATTTTTCACCTCTATGTCTAACCCAGGATTCCAGCCCTTTAAGGACTTTGAGATCCGAGGACGCTACCCACCCCTCAGGATGGAGCAACACGGCACTCCTGCGCCAGACAGCAATTGGTACATGTTTTCACCAGGCATAGGCACTGAAACTATGCCCAACCCACCTTACCCACCATGTCCACCGGGCAAGAAGGTCAGTGAACCTGAATTTGGACATCCAGGTTTCCGACTGGCATATGGAAAGGAAGGGTGGAAAGCCTCACCCTCTCTTGACAAGACTCCTGTATATCCCCAGGTACACAGAGGGTTCCCTGTCAGTACTCAGTTGAATCCTCCCCCAAGACATCCAAAATGCAGGAGGTTGGGGGGAGGAGGATGGGAACAATACCCAAGGGAACTCTAAGAGGGGAATGGGGAGGAGGTGGAGAATATGGCTTTCCAGCCAGACTAAGGAAGTGACTCTAGCTTCACCCTCCTTCTTCTAGTTGTACCACTTCCGAGGAGATGTGTGTTCCCCTCTGCCACCCCAGACGGAGACACTAGATGTCGGCAGGTTTGAGAGGCTTCCCAAGCTAGACAAGCCCAACCTGATCCAGCACAAAGCCATCTCGGGTGGGTGGCCGGAGCCCAGAAGTCATGACTGGGTTCCAGTCCTGGTTCTCCCAAGACCTTGCTGAGACTTTTTGGGCAAGTCCCTTCACCTCTCTGGGCCTCAAGTGTCTTACCTGTAAAATGAGGTATTCATTTATCTGATCTTTAAGGTCCTTTCAGAGTCTGATACACTGATTCTAAGCTAGGTTTTTTTCTTTCCCTTAGCATTCATTCCTTCAGGGCTTCAGCCTTGCCTCCACACTTAGCCCTGTGCTCCCGTGCCCTCCGAGCCTCTGCCATCAGAGGAAGGCATCCAA